GAAGAGAGGCGAGGGAGGTGCGAGCTCGTGCTCTGCTCCCGGAACCAGACGCGTGCACGCGCTCGGTGTGGAATGAGGACGTGCCTTATACGGGCATACAAAGGGAGCCGCCGCCAGATCAAAGAGACCGCACTGCCCCGCCTCCAAATCCCGGCCCCGGGGGCAGCAGCCAGTCGTATCCACGACAACGGGGTTCTGCCCCCCCCCCTCTTCTCCCAACACACACACACACACAATCCTATCCCTCCCTCCCCTCCTTCCAATCCTCACATCCACACGACCGCCAAACGAAGGCCAGAACCACCCACCCACCCATCCACTTCTCTTGCCATGCGTCTTGCGCGTCTCCCATCGTACGGTCACGAGCTAGTCCACCCGCACCCACGTCCGTATCTCCCACCCACCACCACCACCGTCCAAAACCCACATCTTATTCACTCATCCGTTCTCTCATCCCCAAAGGCACCCCCCTCCCACCCTCCCGTCCCTCCCCCTTCCCCCCAGCCACCCGCCACCTCCCACCCTTAGCTCGAGAACAGTGCAGATTTCTCTCGTGGTGGCTCTGGAGAGAAATATTTTTTTTTGAAAAAATTCGAGCCATGCAGGCAGTTGAGTTGTCCTTTTGCCAAATCTGCAATTTTTTTTCTACCCTCACACTTTTTCTTGGGTTTGGGGGTTGGGAAGAGGTGGTGGTGGTGAAAGATTTGAGCTGACCGGCGTCAAGAAACACGAGTTTTGTGGTGGTGGCGAACAGGTAACGCCTTGAGGCGTTGCTTTACCGGGTGGCGCTCAGATTTGTCGCGACTTTTAATTACCCAAACAAGTCGCGTTGTCACCACTGTATTTGGGAAGCCCTTTACGGAACGACCCATTCGTTCGGGGTTGTTTGATCTTGCCGTATACCTCTGCCACATTTGAGTCCGCGTGGAGTGGTGTCGGTTTGAGTGCAGATGCGACGGCTTTTAGCGGCCAAAAACACGACGTACAAAGAAAGAAAGGGAGCATTTTCAACAAATAGCAAATAAATGGCGTTTGCATTTGCGAAGAAGGAAGTGCGGTGGAGGGGGAGTCGATTTCACAATGCGAAGCAACGGAAATATGTTAAAGAACTGCGTAATTTTAGATACATTGCCCCCAGTTGCTCAACACTAACTGTGCCGTTCCTATGCGCCATACACGTATAGAAACACACCAACACCCAATTCATTCCTTGCGATAACTAATATTGCAACACGTGGCAGCGTCAAGTTGGGTAACACGTGGCAGTGTCAAGTTGATCGGTACCTCAAATTTATGCCAGTTTAAGGGCATTAGAATTCTCGTGTAAAAGAAACGAATAATTTACAGCCCTGTCTCAATCCACTGCTGGATGAAGGCCCCATCTGGACGCCGTGTTTTCACCATACTTCTCCATGTTGGTGAGTGTAGGTTGGAGAAGTGGGGGAAATCCCGGGACCGGTTCAAATATGACCGTGTCAGATATTGCTCGCCACTGATGTGAGCACAACGCACGGACCGCGAAACCACTGCGCCACCGCTCCACCCGTATACATGCTGTGTACGGTTGCATGATTCTAGCGCGCGTCTTGTGACACGATAGCGCGTGGAGGTTTTGCATGAGCAGGTCGGGGTGGGCTATCGCAGGTCCGTGCGAGTTCGAAGTGACGGCCTGGCTCTCTGTATAGTAGAGGCTTTATCAGAGTACCCCAAGTGTGCCCACAAGCCCACAAGTGACATAAGACCACCATACATTTTTACAATAACTTCCCTCAAACGAACTTCCTTCCTTCAATAAAAACAAAGGGTCCCTATACTCTTCACAAATGTGCTTTATTTTGGCTGGCCTTTAACAGTTCCCCACACACACGCACACACACACGCCCACACATTGTGCGTGCGTCTAGATGACTTACCAAAAGCATTTCAAAACGGGATGTTAAAAGTGTGCACGTGCCGACACGAATCTTTCATCTTCCCATATAACTGCTCGTGTTAAAGTGTGCGAATTACCACTCAACAGAATTTGGAACAATACCGCACGCATCGTAATACGAGAGTATCACGTGTGCCACTCTCGTGCCGAATGAAATCTGGCATTATCCCATCCAGGAGATGGAGCGACAAAATTAACGCATGTGCAGGATGCTCGGCTGGAATATTATAATCGTCGCTACGTCGTGAGCAACTGTGGACAGTTTTGGGGTGAAGCCTTCATCTGGATTGACCATAGCCGATTATGGTTATGTTATTAAACGTATACTGCACGTTGATGATCTTTAACACCAACACGGGGTTATAATGTCGACTCAGCGTGTACACACACGTGTGTGTCTTCGCGAGACGACCGCTCTTCAAACTTTTCTCAACTGCGTAACATGCAGAATGATGTATTTGAATGTTAAAAGAAAGGTATTTTCCCGACATAAGTGGCCGTGGCTAAGCAGAAAGCGTGTGCCTGTTCAAAGGGGCGCACTTTAAACGCACTCTTCCACAGCTGACCAGACAGTCCACAGACACGCTCGCTCTATCGGGGTTACGCCTGAATTCCACATTGACGTGGACAGCCGCGTTCAACGAAACGAAGATGATGGCATTAGATACCGACAAAGATTCACCCGCACAACATCCAGTGCTGTTCACGAGCACCCGTGAGGGCCGGCACGGCACACGGGGGGGGGAAGTGGGGGGGGGGGATAGTTCCACGCCCGGCCACCTTTGTCTCTCTAGTGGCGCTGCATGCACACCGCACCAAGTACTGTGCCCCCCTTACCATTGCACCACCACCACCACCGTGGACGCACGCACGCACGCGCACACACACGCACGCACGCGCACACACACGCACGCACGCGCACACACACGCACGCACACACACGCGCACACACACGCACGCACACACACGCACGCACACACACGCACGCACACACACGCGCACACACACGCACGCACACACACGCACGCACACACACGCACACACGCACACACACGCACGCACACACACGCGCACACACACGCACGCACACACGCGCACACACACGCGCACACACACGCACGCACACACACGCACGCACACACACGCGCACACACACGCACGCACACACACGCACGCACACACACGCACGCACACACACGCGCACACACACGCGCGCACACACACGCACACACGCACGCGCACACACGCACACACACACACAAGACAACGGAGCACAGTCCATCGCCACCGCCAGCCAGCCCCAGCGAGTTCGCGGACCATGCGTGGAGCAGCAGCAGCAGCTACAACAGCAACAACAGCGGCAAGCAGTAGCCTTGGAAAAGACGTGGCGGCGGGCGGGGGGGGGTTTGGAGGAGGAGGAGGGGGGGGGCTAAATAAATAAATAAGTCGCTCAAGCGCAGCGGCAAGCGGCGGGCTGCGGGGACATCAAAGTGCCGCGCGAGCAGCGGCTCCATTGGCTGCGAGGGAGGCTCCGCACGTGACGCGCGGGCGTGAAGGCTGCCGCGTGCCGCGAGGCTCCTGCCATGTGGCCTCGCAAGCCTCGTGCCTCCCTCCTCCTCCCTGGAACTTATTGCACGCGATTGTTGCGTCGCTCTCACTGTACAACACTACCACCGCCACCAGACACACGCGCACGCAACCACAACCACACACTTCCACTTTCTTTTGTGTGTGTGTGTGTTTTTTGGCCGTGCCTCTGTGCCCTTTGACGCGTGCGTGCGTGCGTGCGCGCGATTCCACGTAGCGGTGGTCTTCTTGGGGTGGACGTGGTAGTTGGTGGGGTGGCTTGTCTGCTTTGATCTCTTGTGGGTTGTTTGTTGTTGTTGCTTGCCGAGACATTTAACTCGGCCTCTTTAATCGCTGCTTCGTAACGGGGTTGTTGTCCTACGTACGGGTATGCGCACGTCCGTTGTGTACATGTTGTTTTTGTTAACGATTATGATGTAAATATTGCGCTTGGGGTTTTTTTTTTACGAGCTGCCCTTTGCTTGAGCCAGGATGCACGGCAGACAGGAAGCTGTGTGTGTGTGTTTGGTGGTGGTGGTGGGGGGAAGAATCTCTTTAAGACGAACGACTGGATTTATAACTGTGTATATAGTATGGCTCAGTGTGAGCTTTGCAAAAGTTGGCATGAGAGTGCCAGACCAACGTTTCTGGTGTGATTCTGGACACAAAAAAAGGTGACTGCAGTGCACAAACACTGCCCCCCCCCCCACCACCGTCTTAGCTCATTTACACCGCTTTAGTTGGTTAAATACAATACAAAAGTGCCATTTCCACGGGGAAATTACGATAGCATTAACAATTGCAGGCATGGAATGGTTCGCGTTAATTTCGGTGAAGGCACCCTGTCGAACTTGAGTAGACGACGGTGTATTTGGGGGGGAGGGGATTAACATTAAGAACACAGCCGTTAGGTCCGAGCAAAAGCAAAGTTTTCGTAAAAGTAAAAGTTGGTGCAGCAACTTTTGCGCAACTGATGCCGCAGCCGCCGCATTTGTACGGATGGAATTGAATAACCGTACAAGTTGGGATACGATCCCGAGAAGAGCCAACATTCACGACTGTAAATTACCGGTTGGGCTGTGATTTTCAAAGGGGTAAAGTTTTGGGGGATGGGGATGAGGCAGCTGCTACCGCCTTTGGAAGCCGCGTCAACCCGACTCGCCTGACTATCTGGGGAATCATTACGTGGCCGCGGTAGCTCCGAGTCCTTGTACGCACGCATCCCCTGGGTCCGATGGTAATGGAAAAAAAAACCATCCAGCAAACTGCACCACCAAATAGGATCCAGCTCTGGGTTCATGGTCTTTGGAAGAACTCACCCTACACCCACTACTACCCTTCCCCCATCACCACACCCTCCCCTCCACAACCCCCATCATCACCACCATCATCATCCTCCTCCTCCCTGCACCCCCCACCCCTCCTCCCCTTCCTCACTACCACCAACCAAACCACCCACCCACCCACACCCGTGCAAACGCCCGCCTCCTTTTACTCCAGGAGAGCGGGACCCGAGCCAGCCCCAGTCAATCAGGCTGTCAATCACTGTCGCGGCGCAAGCCCTTTGATGTCGGGTGCGCGCACGGGAGCGCCGAGTCGGGCGCATTGATCGCGTGGCCTCCTCCCGCCAGGTTTAACCCCTTGTTCGTCTCCGCACAACCGGCTTCTCGCTCGCCCGTCGCCCGCCCGGAGTCTGCTGGCTGCGACCAACGCGACCGGGGCCGCACGACGGCGCAGAGCCCTCCTCCTCTCCGCCTCTACGAGGCTTGCTGCCGCACCACCAGCAGCCACAGCCGCTCTCTCGCCGCTCTCTCGCCCGGCTCCTGCCCAGCTTCGTGAGCAGGAGAGACCGAGAGCCACCCCAGGGGCTGTGGACCCACAAACGGCGGCAGGTAACAGCGGCCGAGTGCAGGAGCACAACTCTACAAGTGTACATCTCCAGCCCTCCCTTACCTGCGGCCCTACCCACATCCACACCAACCTCTTCCCCCCCCCCCTTCGGCGTCGGCTGCTTGGGGGCTTCCCTTTTCCCTTTTGAGTCCAAAAGTAACCCGGCTCGAGTCCCCCCCCGACCACCTCTGCCTGCCCCGCCTGGAGGAGCAACCATGCCGCAGCTTGCGGCGGCGACCGCGGGCCCCGAGGAGCTGGGAGCTAGCGACGAGATGATCTCGTACAAGGACGAGGGCGAGCAGGAGGAGAAGGCGAACGAGAACGCCGACGTGGAGCACGACTTGGACGACCTGAAGTCCTCGCTCGTTCACGAGTCGGAGAGTCGTGGAGGCAGCGGCTCGGACGCAGAGGTGGGTCTGGAGGGAGGTGGAGGGGGGGATGAGTTTGCGGGTGATGGAGGAAGGATGCTCAGTCCGCCATCATCATCATCTACTATCACCACCACCATCACCATCTACTATCACCACCACCACCATCATCTTACTGCCACCATCACCCGGCGAGTGAGTTTGCTCGTGATGGAGGAAGGACGCACAGTCCGCCATCATCATCATCTACTACCACCACCACCACCACCATTATCATCTACTATCACCATCACCACCACCACCATTATCATCTACTATCACCATCACCACCACCACCACCACCATTATCATCTACTATCACCATCACCACCACCACCACCACCATTATCATCTACTATCACCATCACCACCATCATCTTAATGCCACCATCACCCGGCGAATGAGTTTGTTAGTGATGGAGGAAGGACGCTTAGCCCGCCATCATCTACTATCATCATCATCTACTATCACCATCATCATCATCCACTATCACCACCATCATCATCTCTTACTGCCACCATCACCCAGCGATTCGAACTCGAGTCACTGCTCGGGTGCCAGGTGAGGTTGTGGGGTTGGGGGGGAGACGACAACAAAAGTTGTCTCGGGTATAAATGATGTCGGCCACGCGGTCTCTTGCTCACTTCGTCACTGCAAGCTAATAGCGACCGATCGGGACACGCACACGGAGTGATGGCAACACGAGGATGCAGTCCGCCCTCTCTCCGCCTCGAGCTATAACAATATGCAGCAGTGGATGTCTCTAGTTGTGCACTTATTGAGTTCTAGAACAAGACAATATGGGTGTTTCTTCCCCCTTTCCTTCCGTGCACTCCATCGTGATTTAGACATTTTTAATGCGTGCACATTTTAATGGCGATCCCATCGCATTCTAAAACAACATTTTATAGGTTTACGCATTTAGCAAATCGTTGTCTCCGGAGTGTGTATGTGTGTGTGTGTATTATACGTGGTTGTTCTCAATGCGGCGTTAAATCGGTTGAGCTCGAAAACAAAGGATCCAGGTGTGGTGCGTGCGTGACACCTTGAGGGCGGATAAAAGCCCTGGGTGTGGGTGGTGTGTAGTAAGGCCTGCAGTAGCAGCGTGCGAGAAGTGTTCACGGGATGGGATTAAACATATTTTGCTTGCTTGGTCACTGACACTCGTTTATTTCTCAGAGGGGGGGGGGGGGGTCTTCATTGAGACGGACAACGATTCCGGTTTCAACCTTACCTCCTAAACGTTGTTGACATTCGGTATTTTGTTGTGCACTTCATACCTCTGGCAAGCCCTTATCCAGTAGCCCTACCTTATTTACAGACAAATTCAGAACTTATTGGTCACCATGTGGGCCCCCTTATACATCTCCAACGTGCATCCTACAAAGTTCCCGTCACAAGGGGAGAAACACAAAGGTGACATGTTTTTTTGTGCCCGTATTGAGATGGCTATACGCCGTATGGACCTGAGAACTAAATTTCCCTGTACAAGAATACGGGGTAAACCGGTATTGGATGACGGCTATGACATTGTTAGTTAAAACACGTTGTACCCTAACTGGCTGATCACAAACCAATCACAAAACTTGACTGTACGAACTTGACTGTACGAAAGATAGTTTAACCATGAACGAGGATATTTTCCACGTTACGTAGTTGTCCGAAAGCATCTTGAAGGCGCTTTTATGTCCACGAGGAGATGGTTACGATTCGAGGGCAGAGGTGAAACGAGTTCAGTTGTGTGCAGGACATCTAAAAGCCGCACCATTTATTTAGTTGCATTCGCTACTTTTGCATCCTCGGTTTAAAAAAACAAAATCTCCAATGTATGTTTTGTTTAAAATGTTATTAAGTAACCTCGTGAAAATACGACAATCGGCCGCGTTACACAAAAAAAAAGAAAAAATGAACGGTCAATAGTTGTGTACGTTTTGACTGCTATATTTGTTGTCAAATGTTATCGTGTAGTCGTATACATACTTCTAGGCCGCGTGCAGTATTTGTACGATTCGCTTTTATATTAAAATGCAATACTTTGAACGGTAATTTAAAGACAATCTTTGTGCAAAACGAATACATCACATCATTATACACACTCTGATTGCGCAACATTGGGTACTTTATACAACACGTGTATGTTAATAGTACAGGACAATGTCGCATACTCCGACATAGACAAATAAAAAAAACTGCGTAGCGCACAAATACCAAGCAGTTTGACTGCAATTACACCTGGGTATTTACGAATTTAAAAACGTTTGTGTGGACTGCAGTGATTTTATTTATGCAGCAAGACGGCAGTGACGTATGGGTAAGGCCTTTAAACTTTGCGTGCAGTACACAAGACTCACGTGCGCGCGTTTTTTCACAGCCCTTCGGAGTGAGTGCCACTGAATGTCGCCTTTAAACGCGTTTCCAGGGGCTACCTACGTTCGCGTGAGTGCGTGTGTGTATTTACGTGGCACTGGTGAGACAAAGGCGGCCGTGCGTGGTGCTGACTGCCCCCCCCCCCCCTCTCCCTCTGCCTTGTGTGTGCCTTGCCGGCCTTCATAGCTAACAGCACTTGCCCCAACAGGTATGCTAAGGCTACACGGGGGATCTTTATCTTGTGTATTTGCGCTTGCGCCCTTGTGTGTGGGTGTTCGTTGTCAATGCAGGGTGATGGGCGCCCGCAGACGTTTGACGGTCGGCGCTTGGAAGATGATGGTGAGTTGTGCACAGATGTCATTATTAACTTTAAACACTACCCCCCCCATCTCTCTCTTTGCTCCCCGTCCCTCCCCCCACCACAAATCAGGTGTTCGCTTAACACGGGCCCCTTCCAAACTCTGTTGCCCACGGGGGTCCAAATCTAACAACCATTAATAAAAGCCGTTGCTGCACTTGTAGATCACTCCAAAACGCCGCGCAAACTTCAAAAAAACCGCTACCTCCCCCCCCCCAAAAAAATAAAGACACGGCACAAAGTAGGGAGATTGCAGAGACACCTGTGCTAAGCCACGTGGTTGAACCTGTTAGCTCACCCAGTGGCTTGCGGTTGCTTTGAAGCACTCTGGACTGTAATTAATGCCCTCTTTCCCAAGAAAGTTGTTACACTTAAGACGTTGACAGCGTTTGAAACGTGGTCATGATGCGAATTTTCGGGATGATCACGTTGCCTTTGATGAGATGATTTTTGTTTATTTTCTGGGCACGCGAGCACGTGCGTGTATTGTTTGTTTACCCATGTCATGAGTGATGGCATATTGTGCCATAAGTTACATACTGTTTCTGTAACAACTAACGGAATTCTAATTGCATAATTACGTAACAGCATTTTTAATTTATTGAAAGCCTCACCGAGTTTGAAGACTCTGTTAGGGTCCTGCACGTTTTGCCAGTTCCATTTGAGTGGCGTTTGGGGTGGAAACTCGGGCAACTCGCAAAACGAAGGGGGATAACGCTAAAATGGTTGTGCACAGATAGTGCCAAGAATCCACTGTGCGATACAGCCATCCCTTGCCCCCCCCCCCCACCCCATCCGATTTTCTGACCAGGGCTCAACCCTGCTCAGCATCTTGATCTGACGAGTTTTTTTGGGGCGCACATTTGGGGTTTTTTTTATGCTGTGTCGCACGCAAAACTTGCACACGACTCGCGCGTGCACAGCCCCACACTGGTTGCATTGCGCGTACCTCGCTCTCCGCCTCCCTAGGTCGCCACCGGGGTGAAGGCCACCTGATCAGCTCCATGTACACCGGGTTCCCACTCCTCATGCTGCCTGACCTGGGCACCCCGTGTCTCTCCCAAGGCGCACTTTCTCCTCCGGTACGTGTCGGACAAACCCACCCCAAAATATCACGAACCCCTCGGCCGAACCTCCCCCCCCCCCACCCCCGCTTGTATATGTCGCTCGTTGCTTGTGCGTTTACTTGTCTCTTACAACACGTGCCATCCTCTTCACCCCCCCCCCCCCCCCGATGTGTACACGTGCTTACCAAGCCTGCCTATGCATTGTGCTTTGACTGATAACAGCTTCCTGCCGAAAGTCGGTACCGACGCAAACCACACGTTGTTAATAGGAGTGCGGGGGGGGGGGGTGGTGGTGGTGGCCCCCCCTCCCTTCTCTTCCTCTCAACACATTGAAGAGGCCCCTATTGTCAGTGAAAGGGTTGTGTTGTGATGTATTGGGAGGAGCACCCAGGGCACGTTTTAGCGGTGACCCCTCTCCACCAGTCGGCCACTCTTTCAGAGTGTCTGGAGATCCGCACGTCGTGTTTTCTACGAATGGTTTTGACTTTTTTAACGTCACGGTTTGTGTGCCGTTCGCACTCCTTAAGTGATGACCCGACCCAGCATGCTGCTGTGTACAGGGGAGTGCAAGTGCGTGTTAATGTGCAGCCGCTGATGATGATTATTCTCGTCCAGTGTCGTGATCTCTGTCAAGTTCTATAGATGCCTTTGATATTGGTTTAAATGCCTCCCCCTCCCCCCTTTAAATGACGGAACATTATTTTAAGTGTCGTTTTGACCATCATGCAACTCCTCAATAGCACCAAGTGGGTGTTCATGTACAGCCAAAAATGATTATTTAACCGCTATTCTGTAGCCTATGGCTATAGCAATAATACAAAAAGAACAAGACGGTACCTTTTTTGGTCCATGAATGCTGACCAGTTTTATTTCCATTAGAAGCAGTCATTTAAAATTACCTTATTTTCTTTATTTTATCCTGGCCAGAAGCCGCTGAACTAAAGTACGCATATTTCATTTTAAACAATGTGCGTGGGGTTTTGTTTCTCCCTTTCCTTTATTACTCTGCGATGAAATCAAAGGGCTTTTACAATAAAATATTTACGTGTAACTACATACAGTACTGTTTACATGACCCAAAACATGTCAATAAACCCTAGGGTTACACACACACACACACAAATTAGACATGGATGCTATGTAATTGGAGTCGACTTGCAAAGGTTACAAAGTTACCTATTACGGCAATTCTCTGCATTCCATATTTTGCCTCAGCCTCGCTTTGAACACACGTTGGTGTCACGTAACCCAGCCTGTTTTGACGTTCTTTGATCCCGTAGGGCCTGTTGTCACCCGTACATATTTGTGAAATTGTCAGCGTAGCCCTTATTCCATGTAGGCCTGCATAAGTGGCAAAAATATAGGGAATTGAAACACTGCTCAAAACAACAGGGAAAGGGAGAGGGGGGTAATCGTTAAGTGTGACTGCGTTCTGTTACGAGGCAGCGGCAGCAGCGGTGGACTGCTGTCAGGCTTATTTTGTTTAAAGCCGGTAGGCCGCTATTTGGGGCCTGATAGACTTGAAGGAGATTGAGCCGGGCAGAACTAATCCACAAATTGTTCGCATTGCAACAGGACGCTTGTTTTAGTTTCAGCAGACGAGAGTAATTGTTGGTGGATGTCAGGGTTAAAGTGATTGTGGTTTGTGCATTAACGTTTCGCATTAGCAGCCTGAACATTCGATTCTGTTTTAGATGCTCCCGAATAGAAACGTAGCGAATACTGGAACACGACATTGTTAATACTTTGGCAGATTGTCGACTATTGTTTAAGGTATGTTGATATAATAACGGTCTCGTTTAGTCTTTAGCAGAATCGAGCTAGTTTACTAAAAAAAACTAAAAATATTAGAGCAGCAGTTTAGTTGGTCAGATGGTCTGTAGAGATGCCCAATACAGATGTCGTGTGTGATGAGCAAGTGACATATTAATTCCAATTCCTTCGTTTTTTTTTTGTCATGCTCTCCGGGCTTTTATAAAATGTTCACGCTTCCACCAAACATCATGTAGACGTCGCGGCCTAGCTCCCATAGCTATCCAGCTTTTACGCCAGAGATGTTGCGATTTGTATGCTTTGCCTTGTGCAACGACTCAAGGTTGCATTCGTCTCTGGCTTTTAATCTCGCGTCAGTGTTCCTTGAAAAAAATTCTAAGCATTTGTTTGCAGTCATTGATATGACCAGTTGGATCCCTTTGTGCTGTACTGACGTGGTGTGTGAGCATTCCAGATGCTCGCCCCCCCCCCCCTTCCGCAGAGCCACAAAGATTTACTTTTAGATGGCACAAACTCTGTGCAATCTCCAGTTACCTCTTTCAGCTGCACCTGGTGTCGGGAATTTGTAAAATCCGAGAAAAATGTCTCTGCCGGTCAAATGGGCACTCCCGAAAACAAGAGATGTCCCTGGTGTGTGTGTGTGTGTACCCCGGCATGGTCCTTGCCATACGACCCCTTCGTGCTCTGTGACAGCCTCAATAGGTGCTTGCTAACAACTCTTGTCCCAACAGTAATACATGCCTGTAGGGGTATCTTTGTCCTCATCTTTGTACAGTTTTTTAAATCTGTACGATGATTCAAGAGAGACTCATTTCCACAAACCCCCAATATCCGTTTATTACAAGTACATGGTCAGCATCTCTTCACCTCCATTGCAAGCGAATATGTTTATGGGAAGGTCGCGGGGTATGCTTTGTTTTATCAGGGTTGGGTGGATAAATTGGGAATAATTGATGGAGGATGACATGATGTGGGGGTGAAGTGTATTGAGAGATGAATCAGCGGTTGGAATTGAGCTAGATTCTGTCCCTGGAATGACAAAGGTTAGACGCACATTCTTTTCCGCAAAATCTGTAAATGCTTTAATACGCAAACATGCTTGTACACCAAACTACTAAAATGCGCTCTGCCATTGTAGGGTTAATGGTCACTGCTTAATGGTTTTTGTTCAATGTTGAAAGCCATTTGTTGAAAGCCATTTCTGGAACTTTTCATATTGCACAAGCAACATATGCTGAGAACAACAACAACAAATGTAATGATTTTCTTTTAAAAAATTACGAAGCTCTTTAAATCCACACAACGGCACTGCCAATCCTGCCAGTTAAGTCAACGTTGTCGATTGTCAAGGGACAGCGCGGGTCCCTCTTACCAAAACCAACATCCAAAGAGGGAAAGAAAGCGACCACATTTAAAAACAGCAACGGCGCAAAGTTGTTGTTGTTGTTTCTGTGCGTGCACTTCGACTGCATTTGTAAACAGTCGTTGCTTTGCTTGGCCGATGCATTCGCCGAAAAGTTAGTCAAGCAGTGACTCAACGCTGACAAAGTTGTAACCACGAGGCAGGCTGAGAGGGTTATCGGCTCATGACTCAAAAGGTGTATCGGTTGGGCACACTTTGGGGGAGGGGAACGTACTGAAGAGGGTTGGGGGGGGGGGGAGAGCATGGCTGGGAAACGGGGGGGGGTCCAATGTCAGGGTAAAGTGGGGGGGAAAAAACACACTGTGGCCTTGTTTTCGTGGGACTTCTTTTCACGCGTGTGTATGCATGTCGAACTTTTTTCGCACTGTACATAGCCAACTGCGCCTATTGAAGGACAACAAACTAAACGCAAAAAGGCGGCACCTCCCCGATTAGCACGGTTGGCTACTTACGGTGCGAAAGAAGTTCCACAAACATATGTGTGACCAACTTCCCTTTTGCAATTACATTTCATCCAGGTTTAAACTCCAGTAAACCTGTGGCATGGGAACTCTTTATTGCAGATGGCCGAATAGGAATTTCAAATTCCTTTTTTGCGTGCAAATACATGAGCTAACGCACACCTTGGCCTTATCCAATAACAACGCGAAAACAAACGTATGCATCGACTAGTCATAAAAGAGGCTGTTGCAGTGGAACAAGTGACAGCGTGGGAATAAAATGACAAACAGTGTTGCCTGGTCAAAAATATTCCCCTCCAGTATCTGGTTAATGCGGCTAAGCACGCTGCAGTGGATAAAAATCGCTTGTGGACCTTTTTTAAAGTGGTTGGCCTCACATAGCCTCTGTAAACAAACACGGTTCTCTCCCTTGTACGTGGGAGTTGTGGTGCTCCATGTCTGTATTTTACCAAGCGCTGGTGCTATCTGGCGTATGTGTGTGTGTGTTTATTCGTTATCCCTGCTTTCATGTGCCTCCAATTAGCGCTTCTTTGTTCGTTTGTGAAACGTGACGATTAAACGCACGCCTTCTCGTGCGCGTTTCACTGCGGTGCTGGCAATGGTCGCCGTCGCTCCCCCCCCCCCCCATTCGTCTCTGGAAGAGAGCCACGTCAATGGGATTGTTGGCACAAGCAGGGCGATTCTTAGCATTGGGGGTCGTCGTTTGGTTATGAGCATAGCGGAGGGCGCGTGGCCACCGACGTGGGAATGTGGCGCGACGCGTCCTGGAGGTGGCTCGTAGCCAGGTGGCTGCCTCACGGCTGGAAGTCAGAGGTCAGGGTTGCAGTACGTGTAGCCATGTGACCCAGACAGTGGAGTGCTCTGTGGGGACTGGGGAAGGGGGGGGGAGATATGCTTTGCTCGCAGATAAACTAAAGCTAAACTGTTTTTTTATGTACCTGGTAAAGCCCCCACTGAGCTATGTAGCTCTTTTTCAGAAACAACCTGGCCACAAATATCTCGACGAAAGTGGCTTATGTGGAAATTTATAGCAGTCAAATATTCTTAATGCACGTTGATTGCAAACATGGAGAGAAAAAAGCGGAAGACCCGGAGAAATATGCACGCGACCACAGGGAGATGATGCACACTCCAAATATACAGCCGTCAGTGATGGGGCTTCTCTCGGTGTAGTAAATGCACAGCACTCGTCACGCAATGCCCTTTCCCTAGCAAATGCATGTATATTCAAATAATTCGAATAATTATGATTTGCAGACCTTTGCAACGTAGGCCTCCCTGCGCCGTGTTGGTTGTGTGGGTCGTTTAACCATACTTCACCACCCTGGTCAGTGGGTTGTTGAGTGGGGGAACACAGG